TGCACTTAAACATCAGCCAAGAATAGACTAATGAATATGGGATGGTCACAATATATTAACCTTGCCTCATCTGGTTCTTCTTAAGTGACAGTATTTGAGACACCTTCCATTGACATCTTTTTTTTTTTAGCTGCTTGGTCAGTAAGTTTATTGTCTTTATCAGAAAAATCTTCATACGAAATCGTGGTTTGGTTTAGCTGTCAGAAGCCTGTCCTTGAGTTCCGAGGAAGCTTGCCTTCTTCTTAGCTACTGATCTTTCTTCTGAGCTACCCGATCTTTCTTCTGGGCAAGAGTCATTTTGGGAAGATTCCACCTCTTCTGTTTAAAATCTTTCTTAGGCGTCTTCTCATATATTGGATTCTCTCATATAGCAGCACGTACTTTCTTATACATCTCCTCCATCATGTCTGAAGTTATGTTGTTCTTTATTTATTGAGAGAAATGTTTCTTGTAAGCATCTTCTTCCATTAGGTAACAGACATAATCTGCAGAGTTCTGACCCAAGATGTGTTTCTGATGTACTTCTGCATTGAATTCCTTACTTTCTGAATCATAACCAGGGAATCATTTGGTGCTGTGAAGTACAGCTAAGCCTCCATTCACAGCTCCCTTCAGACCCCCCAAAACTTTATTTCCAGCAGTAGTTTGGGAAGGCCTGCATCCAAATAGCATGTGAAGGCACCAGGTTGGCCATCAGTGCTTTGCAGATTGTATTCATCTCCAGTTACCTTCACTTGGCCTTCATAGATCTTTTCCATGCCAAACCTATTGAGAAGTCTGCGGGCCAGCAGTAGGCCAGTACAATATGCCACAGCATAATTTGTCAGGCCAGTTTTCACACCATACTTTGGAAGTATGAGCATAAGCTGCGCAGATTATCATATCCCCGTCTATACGGGTATAAGCAGTCTGGCAAACGATATCTCTGTTGTTTACACAAATTATCATCCTGTATTTGGGTGTGTTGTATTTATTTTTATTCTGGATCACCACGTGTTTCAGTGCATAGGAATCAGTTTTACCCTCTTGTCTTCTTCTATATTTCACTTGGCATCTCTTGAAGTAGGCCTTGTTCTTGACAACTTTAACAAACCCCATCCTACGAAACAGGGACTGGTGTCCGTGGCTTAACAAAGACCTGCAGACCCAGCAGCTCTGCGGGAGGGGAAGGGAAAGTAAAACTTTTTTTTTTTAAAAAATGCTTATGTAGTGAAAGAAGAAAGTCTTCCAAGTTATAGAAGATCCTAATTTGTTTATATGATGAGCAAAGATTATGTAATATAGCAATCCTATTATCATCTATGGGAAAAGATATGTATCTACATATATATAGGTTGAATCCCAGTAGGATTGACTCATTC